CCACCAGGAGGCCTGGTCACAGACCGGGCCGCGGGGGCGTTGACCCCCGGAACTCTCTCCAGGTAAACTCCAGGTAAACACAAAAAAATAGAAGATTTACTGTTATGCAGATTATTGCATTATTGTAATAATTGTATAAATAATGTCAGCCCATTCATGACTGTGTATTAGAATGGCTAGTTGGACACTTATTGGACGGTGATGTCATTTGTTTACTCATGAACATCGGCAAAATTCAAACATTTCCGCTACTTTGACCTCAATTTCAAGGTCCTTTTCATCATGAAACCAATCAAAATCATCTCTATTTCTGTAATATGTCTTCCATTCTATCAAATGAGACCAGGAAAATGAGAATACAACCATAAATACTGTTCAAAAATGCACCTTAAAGTCGGCGTTTCAATCCAAAAACACAGTCGGAGTTTTTTTTCTTCTCATTATACAGTGCATGCTGCAGTATTTTTTGTATACTGTGCACACTGACCACACAGACCTATTCTCTCACATGTGAACCTACCAGCTTTCTCCCGTTTGAAGCCGCTAGAATTTTGGCATATTAATGTCGCCGACAGTTTCTCATAAGATGTACGTATACAGCGGGCCCTCAGCTAACGATGGCATCAGCTAACGTTAAATCCAGCTAACGATACATTTTAATGCAAAAATTTTGCCTCAGCTAACGCTAAAAAACTCGGCCAACGCGATTCATTCGAGACGCGTCCACTTGTGGCCTGAGCGCACCTCAGTTGTCCCGTGGGTGTCAGTGTTTACAAACAAGTCAGTGCGGTTGCATCCACGCATACAATCAGAACATTTCATATTAACCCAGTGTTTTTAGTGATTGTACCTGCAAAATAAGTCACCATGGGCCCTAAGAATGCTTCTAGTGCCAACCCTGCAGGAAAAAGGGTGAGAATTACTATGGATATGAAGAAAGAGATAATTGCTAAGTACAAAAGTGGAGTGCGTGTCTCCGAGCTGGCCAGGTTGTACACAAAACCCCAATCAACCATCGCTACTATTGTGGCCAAGAAAACGGCAATCAAGGAAGCTGTCCTTGCAAAAGGTGCAACTTTGTTTTCGAATAAGAGATCGCAAGTGATAGAAGTTGTTGAGAGACTGTTATTGGTGTGGATAAACGAAAAACAGATAGCAGGAGACAGCATCTCTCAAGCGATCATATGTGAAAAGGCTAGGAAGTTGCATGAGGATTTAATTAGAAAAATGCCTGCAACTAGTGGTGATGTGAGTGAATTTAAGGCCAGCAAAGGTTGGTTTGAGAGATTTAAGAATCATACTTGCATACATAGTGTGATAAGGCATGGCGAGGCTGCCAGTTCGGACCACAAAGCGGCTGAAAAATATGTGCAGGAATTCAAGGAGTACATAGACAATGAAGAACTGAAACCTGAACAAGTGTTTAATTGTGACGAAACAGGCCTGTTTTGGAAGAAAATGCCAAACAGGACCTACATTACTCAGGAGGAAAAGGCACTGGCAGGGCATAAGCCTATGAAAGACAGGCTTACTCTGTTGATGTGTGCTAATGCTAGTGGTGATTACAAAGTGAAGCCTTTATTGGTGTATCACTCTGAAACTCCCAGAGTGTTCAGGAAAAACAATGTCCTCAAGGCTAATTTGTGTGTGCTGTGGAGGGCAAACAGTAAGGCATAGGTCACTAGGGACTTTTTCTATGACTGGTTACACCATGCATTTGCCCCCAATGTGAAAAATTACCTCTTGGACTTGATACCTCAAGTCCTAATGGAAGGGGATTCCCCTTCTAAACCATAAGTTCGACACTCTCCCCTCCTCCCATCCCATCAATCATCACCAGATCTTCAATAAAGGTAAGTGTCAGTTTGTGTGTATTAAAATTAATATTTCATGTGGTAAAAAAAAAAAAATTTCATACTTTTGGGTGTCTTGCACGAATTAATTTGATTTCCATTATTTCTTATGGGGAAATTAATTCAGCTAACGATGAGCTTTCAGGAACAGATTAATATCGTTAGCTGAGGGTCCACTGTATATACGATACCGACGGTCAAAGGGTTAAGCATGAGCTTCGTGGCATGGACGTGTCCTCTAACCCCAAAATCTTGAGTGCCATTAAGCAAGTGTGGCAGGGTATTAATTCTTCCATCCTCCTTAAGTTTGCCTTATCAATGCCTAGGAGACTTAACCCTTTCAAGGTTGTGACCCCTGCTCTCAAATTTGCTCTCAGGGTCATAATATTTAAAAAAAAAAAAAATTTTATGGTAGAGAATCTTTTACAGAAGGAAATGAAACAATAAGTATGAAATTTGATGGAAAACTTACAGAATTATGCTCTCACAAAGTTAGCAGTCTCAGCGATATTTACGTATCGGCACTTCTGCTCAGTTTGCACCCTACTTTTGGCCCATTCCATTGTTCCAGTTGACTAAACTCATAGCTATTTCATTAGTATTCTTTATATTCTATCGACTGAGTACAAGAAACTGCCCATTTACCTATTTCAACTATCCAATAAAGTGATCAGAAATTGATAATTTGGCCAATTTCACACAAAAAAATAAAAAACTGCCAATTTAAAAATAAGGTCCAGAATAAACAATGTAGGCATTAAAAAATATTAAAGATTAAAGATTTTATTTCTTTGTAAAGGTTATAATGTGTAATTACAATTTTGATTGTTAAGTACAAAGAAAGCCACTATCATGCTGGGGCATTTCAGGCAGACTAATCCTAGTACATAATAACTACTAAAGTCTAGACAAGATAAGAATGGTTAACTTTGTAAATAAATTTCTTCTATTCCTTAGTCACGTCTCCAGGCCCCTCTTATATTGTGCTTGCTTTCCATTTTGAATTTTTATTCACACAAAAAATAGATTTACTGTTATGCAGACTACTGCATTATTGTAATAATTGTATAAACAATGTCATTTTATTCCTAAATGAGTATTAGTTGGACACGAATTAGACAAGTAATGTCATCCGTGAAATATTGGCAAAAATAGAACATTTCTGCTACTCTGAGCTCAATTTCACGCTACTTTCAGTTCTGAAATTAATTAAAATCCTCTCTATCTCTGCAATATATCTTCCATTTTATCAAATGAGACCAAGAAACTGAGAATATACCCATAAAAATCATATGAAAACACACCACAGTTGCTGTTTTAAACAAAAACACAGTTGCATTTTTTTCTCATCATGCACTGTGTGCTGCAGGATTTTTTTTCTATATGGTGCACACTTACCACAAAGACCCATTCTCTCATTTCTAGGCCCAAATTCACCACTCACAGCTTATCTGAGAGAGTTGAGCTCAAGACAATAGTACAAGATCAATGCTGGCTTCCAAGCTGTTATATAACGGGATCAACACTGAAAGAGTTAAGGAGTGCATCAAGAGGAATAGTAATTCTACAAAATATGTACTAGTTTCAATGAAGAACATATTAATATTTCAGTATTTAATTTTTAAAGCAATAGTTTATGTTGAGTGTTCTCATTATCTACATGATCTATTTATACACATGCATATTTATGATACCTACTGTATACAGTGGAACCTCGGTTTTCATTTGCCCTGGTTTTCATCAAACTCAGTTTTCAACGACTTTTTTCATCAAAATTTTGTCTCGGTTTTCATTCATCACCTCGATTTTCGTCTCTCTGCCGTACCAAACATGTCCACCTGCCAGCGCCCACATAAAGCATCCCATGCGTTCTGAGTCAGTCTGGCTTTGTTTCTCATCGAGTGAGCATTACCCTGTGTGCTCATCCGAAACATTTCATAATAATCCATTGTTTTTTGTCCTTGTTTATTGAGTGCGACTGCTAAATAAGACACCATGGGGCAAAAGAAAATTCCGAGTACCAGCCCTTTGATAAAGAAGGTGAGAAACACAATAGAATTCAATTGTGGCCAGAATGTGTCCAAGAGAAGGATTTTGAAGGGTTTGAGGCTGACCCTGACAACCCTACGCCTGTTGTGGAATCTATTGTGGGTTAGGAGAAGTCCAGGGGTTGGAAGTGAATGGCCAGGATGTGGAAGAGTTGGTGGATGATCACAGGGAAGAGCTAACTGGTGAAGAGCTGCAACACCTTCAAATGGAACAGCAACAGATTGCACTTGAGGAAATTGCTTCAGAGGAGGAGGGAGAGAGGGGAGAATGTGCCTTCTTCAGTGATTAAGGACATGTTTGCAAAGTGGAGTGAGTTGCAAAGTTTTGTGGAGATATATTACCCTAACAAAGCTGTTGCAAGCCATGTCTGCAACATGTTCAATGACTGCCTTGTCCCATTTTAGGCAAATTTTAAAGAAACGCCAGAAATAGACCTCTCAGGAGAGATTTTTTGTGTGACAGGGGTCCAGCGCAAGTAAAAGACAAAGAAGGGAAGTAACCCCCGATAGGAACTTGACACCTGAAGTCCTTATGGAGGGGGATTTCCCTTCCAACCAATAATCCCTCCTCCTCCCTCAACCCCTCCTCACGTCTTCCATACGCCAACAAGAGTCTTCAATAAAGGTAAAAGCGATATTAAATGTTCATTTATCCATTTAATTAGTCCTTTACATTTCTCATTGTTTTCTGTATGTAAAACTATAGTTATTTTCTATAAAATGTATTTTTTGTTAATACTTTTGGGTGTCTGGAATGGATTAATTGGATTTACATTATTTCTTACGGGAAATATTGCTTCAGTTTTTGTCAAATGTGGTTTTCATCAGACTTTCTGCAACAAATTAATGACGAAAACCTAGGTTCCATTGTATGTCTAAACTGATTAAAAAGTATAATAAAGTGAACAAAATAACGTAGTATTTGTGGTTTAAAAATTCCCTTGGACCACTAAAAAAGTAACCTCATCAATTTTGAGTGCGCACTGTAATGAAAAAAAATAAATACATGTATCATTATCAGGTGAGACTGGTAAACCCGTACATACATGAGTTATACAGCACCTTGGTAATGGGAGGTAGAAACAACATATGTACTCACTGTGATCCATTTTCAACAATCTTTCTTAATGCGTTGAGAACATAATAGGGAGCATAGTTAGTAGATAAGACAAGAGCATCCACTTCATTGTAGACTGGTGATGTGAGGTGTACATTGGATGCGAGGCGCAAATTTTGGTAAAGACGAGAACTGAGGCTAGAAACTAATTTCTGTACTTGTCTATCAAAGCACATCAGTTGTTTCACTTCATCGTGCCAATCTGTGACTTTCTTTTTGTATGGCAGTTGGTCCCAAACTTTAGGCCAGCTGTAACGATTAAATTTCCAAGATTAGGATAATGAGAAATAAAATTAATCAAAAAAATTTTTAATATTTTTATATATTTAATATAATTAACTTAAATAAATGTAGAATGTCAGTTACCAATGACATGCACTGTGATATATTTAACTACTGTACCATTATCACATGAACCACCTTCTTATAAACTTAAATCTATGCTAAGTATCCAATTGCACACTTTTAACTGCTATACCTAATGTAAAGTAAAACAAAATTTATTTTCTATAACATTACATAGTTTTAAACTATATGTTACAGTATGTTATATATGAAAAAACCCATGATAATGCAAAGCATTTCAAAGGCAGACTATATCTTAAAAAATTACAATACTTAACAGTTCTAGCACATATAATTAGGCTGTGTGAGACAAAATTGGGATGGATATTTTTACAAAATCTAGGGACTTGCTTAAAACTATGAATATAGTCATACTGATTAAGGATTATAATAATCGGAAATAAGGTTTGTCTGACGAATGATTATGATACAATGGTTTCTCTAAGTATCAAGACTTTCTTCACAAGAGAGATGGTAGGAGATAGTGGAAATAAAAAGTGTAGCATATGGCTGCAAGTTGGCAGCTGGCACACAGGTGAATTACACTAGTTTAATCCTTTCTGGATCGGCAGGCCCTCTCCTAAACTTCTTTTCAGGGTCAGAAATTTTTTGAAAAAAAAAAAAAAAAATTATTTTTTCTTATGAAATGATAGAGAATCTTTTCCCGATCATAATGACACCAAAAGTAAGAAATTTGATGGAAAACTTACGGAATTATGCTCTCATGAAGTTAGTGGTCTTGACAATGTTTAAGCAGCGGCGATTTCGCCCACTTTGAGCCCTATTTTCGGCCAATTCCAATGTACCAGTCGACAAAAATCATAACTATTTCGCTAGAATTCCATTTTTTTCTATCGAATGAGTACAAGAAACCGCCCATTTACCAATTTCAACTATCCAATAAAGTGGTCAGAAATTGGCAATTTTGCCAATTTCACACAAATTTCAAAAGATGCCAATTTCCAAATAGGGTCTAGAATAAACAAGACAGACATTCCTGGCACTAAAATAACCATTTTCTCTGTTCATCAGTCATGTCCCCAGGCCTCTGTTACATTTCTTTTGCTTTCCACTTTGAATTTTTATTCTCACAAAAAATAGAAGATTTACTGTTATGCAGTATTAGTGTAGAAATGGTGTAGAAATGGTATAAATAATATCGGCGCACTTGTGAAAGAATATTAGACTCAACAGTTGACGTGTATTGGACGCATGGCATGATTTATTTACTTTTGAATTTTGGCAAAAATCGAACAATTTTCTGCTACTTTGAGCTCAATTTCAAGGTTCTTTTCTTTGTGAAACCAATCAAAATCATCTCAATTTCTGTAATATGTCTTCCATTCTATAAAATAAGACCAGGAAAACTAGAATACAACCATAAATACCATACGAAAATACACTGCAAAGTCGCTGTTTTAAACCAAAAACACAGAGTTTCTTTTTCTCATTATGCACTGTGTGCTGCAGGATTTTTTTTATAATGTGCACACTGACCACATAGATCCATTCTTTCATATGTAGGCCTACCAGCTTTCTCTCACTAGATTTGAAGGTGCTAGAATTTATGCATACTAGAACTGCACCAACCCTGGCGTGCAATCCATACTAGTATGGTACCAACCCTGAAAGGGTTAAGAAGTAATTTTTGACTAGTATTTTAAAAGCAATAGGCAGACAGAAGAGCTGTAGAATCTTCTGGTAGGGAGTTTTATATTTTGGGACCATTTATGGGCATAAAGTTTCTAGTCAGGTTGCATCAAACTCACGAGACATCAAAGACGTATTTGTGTCTTGTAGGAAACACTGGCCAGAGAAACAGAAAATATCAAACCTAAGCTTAACCCTTTCAGGGTCAGTCCTGTATATATACGGCTTGAGAGCCAGTGTCAGTCCCATATTTATGCCAAAATTCAAGTGCCTTCAAATCTGCTGGAAGAAAGCTGGTAGGACTACATATGAAAGAATGGGTCTGTGTGGTCAGTGTGCACAGTATAAAAAAAATCCTGCAGTATGCAGTGCACAATGAGAAAAGAAAAACTCCAACCATGTTTTTTGTTTAAAACAGTGACTTCGCAGCGTATTTTCATATGGTATTTATGGTTGTATTCTCATTTTCTTGGTCTCATTTGATAGAATGGAAGATATATTACAGAAATAGAGATGATTTTGATTGCTTTCACGATGAAAAGTAGTACAGTAGGGCCCCACTTATACGGCAGGTTAGGTTCCAGGCTACTGCCGGAAAGCAGACATCGCCGGAAAGCAGAACGCCATTTTTTCCACTTATAAATGCATATAAATGCCAGATAACAAGTTTACACAAACATAAAGTCACTTTCAGACTTCACAATGAGGCAGCTATCAATAACTTCACAGCAGCAGTGACGAACATTGACTGGCACACTGAGCTAGAAATCTACACAGATATTGACGAATGTATTAATAATTTTCTAAAAAAGACCCAATACCTCTATAACAAGCACTGCCCTAAAAAACTAAACAAATGACTGCAAAGAGACTGAACAGTCCCTGACTAACACCCAGTATCCTCAAATCTATAAATACAAAGCACCTATACGAAAAACAGTACAGAATGGGCCACATAACCAGAGACCAAACAAAACGTTACTCGTCAATCCTAACCAGCCTAATAAGAAGGGCTAAAAAATTGTATTACGAGAACAGATTATCCAACTTATGAGGTGGCATAAAAAAGACCTGGAAAGCCCTATCAGAAATACTAGGAACAAAAAAAATGACACGAAATAGCGAAATTGAATTAACAAAACCAGATGAACCCCAATTCCCACCTACTGAAACAGCAAACAGACTCAATGATTTCTTCTCCACTATAGGAAAAAAACCTTGCCAATAAAATCCCAAGCTCAGATACCCCACCCAATGACTACCTCACTGGCAACTACCCGAACACACTGTTCCTAGCTCAGACTAACCCAATTGAAGTCTCCCTTATTATCAACAAACATACTCAACATACATACTCAACAATTTGGGTTCAGGCCTAATAAAAATACTAATGATGCTATTATCCACATGCTAGAACATATTTATACAGCAATAGAGAAAAAAGAGGTCCCACTGGGGATCTTCATTGACTTACGTAAAGCTTTCGATACAGTTGACCACGACTTGCTCCACATAAAATTGTCGCACTGTGGTATAAGAGGGCACTCCCTCAACTACCTAAAGTCATACCTCAGCAACAGAAGCCAATATGTGTACACAAATGGGGCAAACTCTTCAGCACAGCCAATTACAGTTGGTGTCCCACAGGGAAGTGTCCTAGGCCCTCTTCTCTTTCTCATATACATAAATGACTTACCAAATGCATCGCAACTACTCAAACCCACACTATTTGCAGATGACACTACATACGTCTACTCTCACCCGAGCCCAGTCATGCTAGCCAATACTGTAAATACCGAATTACAGAAAATATCAACCTGGATGAGGACTAACAAACTTACTCTAAACATTGACAAAACCTACTACATTCAGTTTAGTAACAGAGCTGCAGATGTCTCTTAACATAATGATAAATGGATCACCTATCACAAAACTCAGGGGGAAAATTCCTAGGAATCCACCTTGATAATAGACTCAAAATTGAAACACATTTACAACAAACTTCCAAAAAAATTTCCAAGACCGTAGGCATACTATCGAAGATACGGTACTATGTTCCACAGTCAGCCCTCCTGGCCCTATATCACTCACTTATTTACCCTTATCTCACCTATGGAATTTGTGCATGGGGCTCAACAACAATAAACCATCTCAGACCACTAATCACCAAACAAAAGGCTGCAGTCAGAATGATAACAAATTCCCACTACAGACAGCACACTCCACCAATATTCAAAACTCTAAACCTACTCACAATACAAAACATCCATACTTATTACTGCACCTACTACATACATAGAACACTTAACTCTGACATAAACCCTCCCCTCAAATATCTCCTTACCAACCTCAACAGAACACATGACCATAACACAAGACACAGATCACTCTTTGATGTTCCTCATGTCCATCGCACGCTATGCAAAAACTCAATGCACATAAAAGGCCCTAAAATCTGGAATTCATTACCTGTGAATATAAAAGAAACACTGTCTGTTTATAAATTCAAGTCTCTTCTCAAAAATCACTTACTCACCCACAACTAAATAAATACTGAAGAATTGTATCTCATAAATTGTATCTCATATATGTATCTCATTATCGTATCTCATAAATGTCAACCTGTGACCCAATCAAACTTTGTTACTATTTAACTTCATTACCTAACAGAATACTCCATTCTACTGATTACACAGCAACACAGTAAACGACCATATGACCTGTCTTTGTAATACTCATTTGTACTAAATTGTTATCTGTTTTACAATAATTTTTGTACCACTGAATATATCATTGCTTAGTTAATCTTAAGTTAATTAAGCCTGCCCATAATGCTCTGCATACAAGGGGCTTCAGCATGCTGCACTTTAAAAATTGTATTCCTTGTACTTCTCTGTATCATGTTCAAATTAAATAAATAAATAAATAATTTTTTTCTTTTTTATTATCACACTGGCCGATTCCCACCAAGGCAGGGTGGCTCGATAAAGAAAAACTTTCACCATCATTCACTCCATCACTGTCTTGCCAGAAGGGTGCTTTACACTACAGTTTTTAAACTGCAACATTAACACCCCTCCTTCAGAGTGCAGGCACTGTACTTCCCATCTCCAGGACTTGAGTCCGGCCTGCCGGTTTCCCTGAACCCCTTCATAAATGTTACTTTGCTCACACTCCAACAGCACGTCAAGTATTAAAAACCATTTGTCTCCATTCACTACTATCAAACACGCTCACGCATGCCTGCTGGAAGTCCAAGCCCCTCGCACACAAAACCTCCTTTACCCCCTCCCTCCAACCTTTCCTAGGCCGACCCCTACCCCACCTACCTTCCACTACAGACTGATACACTCTTGAAGTTATTCTGTTTCGCTCCATTCTCTCTACATGTCCGAACCACCTCAACAACCCTTCCTCAGCCCTCTGGACAACAGTTTTGGTAATCCCGCACCTCCTCCTAACTTCCAAACTACGAATTCTCTGCATTATATTCACACCACACATTGCTCTCAGACATGACATCTCCACTGCCTCCAGCCTTCTCCTTGCTGCAACATTCATCACCCATGCTTCACACCCATATAAGAGCGTTGGTAAACCTATACTCTCATACATTCCCCTCTTTGCCTCCAAGGACAAAGTTCTTTGTCTCCACAGACTCCTAAGTGCACCACTCACCCTTTTCCCCTCATCAATTCTATGATTCACCTCATCTTTCATAGACCCATCCGCTGACATGTCCACTCCCAAATATCTGAATACATTCACCTCCTCCATACTCTCTCCCTCCAATCTGATATCCAATCTTTCATCACCTAATCTTTTTGTTATCCTCATAACCTTACTCTTTCCTGTATTCACTTTCAATTTTCTTCTTTTGCACACCCTACCAAATTTATCCACCAATCTCTGCAACTTCTCTTCAGAATCTCCCAAGAGCACAGTGTCATCAGCAAAGAGCAACTGTGACAACTCCCACTTTATGTGTGATTCTTTATCTTTTAACTCCACGCCTCTTGCCAAGACCCTCGCATTTACTTCTCTTACAACCCCATCTATAAATATATTAAACAACCATGGTGACATCACACATCCTTGTCTAAGGCCTACTTTTACTGAGAAATAATTTCCCTCTTTCCTACATACTCTAACTTGAGCCTCACTATCCTCGTAAAAACTCTTCACTGCTTTCAGTAACCTACCTCCTACACCATACACCTGCAACATCTGCCATATAAATAAATAAATAAATACTGATTGTACAGGAATGCATGCAACCATACGACCTGTATTTGTAATACTCATTTGTGCTTGTTATCTGTTTACAATAATGTTTTACCACTGAATACTTCATTGCTTAGCTAATCTTAAGTTAATTTTAAGCCTGCCCATAATGCCATGGATTCAAGTGGTTTTGGCATGCTGCATTTAACTGTATTCTTTTGTACTTCTCTGTATCATGTTCAAATTAATAAATAAATAAATAAATAAATATATTAAGTTAGAAATAGAACTAGGCAGTAAAACAAAAAAGTAAAATACGCACACAGTACACTCATTATTTACCTCATTATTTAGTTTAATGTAGGGCAAAAGGTTGTGACCGTGTGTGGAAGTGTGAATTGCTCATTACTCTACAATTTGTTCATGATTGTACCCATGTGTAAACATAAGTAACCATTCTTACAGGATTCATTATTTTCATTTGATTCATTAGAGATTTGCCAGTACTTCCGGCCCGGGTCTTCTCCAGATGGTGACCCGGCGTCATTCATTACCTTTGTACCTAGTTCAGCTATCAAAACTTTGGGGCCCAGTCCCTGAACCCATTACATACCCCTGTAATCTGCAAATACCTTTGTAACTTGTCATGATTGTGACTAGACCTACCTGGATTTCATTATCTTTGTAAATTGTGAGTTCATTACCTCTGTAACTTGCTCAGCTATCAAAACTT